CTGCTGCTGAGAATGAAATAACTTTATTTTTTATTCTCAACATTCAGTACTTTTGGTTTTATGGAGAAACTAAAACACATTCATGTTTGTTAAATTTAAAAACTGAAAAAGGATTATTGAAATGAAAAACCATATTTTGCGGAAGCAATTGCATATTGCTGGTACTCGGAAATCAAAGAAACGAAGGGTGATATGATGATAATAATGACAGCACTAAAAAAGCTGAAGTCTTTTGTAATTTTATTTTTGAAAAGACAGAGAGAGAGAGAGAGTATGATAATGTCACTCGCAAGGGTGTCTTTGATACTTGTTGGCAACTGAAACTGTGTTTCAGATACAAGGGTGTTTTTCAAGTTGAACACAGACTCAAAAGCCTTATCCTTGTTAAAGGTGGTGGCTGGCTGTCTTGAGTTCTTGCTTCATTTCCATTGTGAAAGAAACTCTGCGCCGGAAGAAATGGAGTCTGTGTGGTTCTCCACCACTGGATCTGCTGACCCCCGTTGTGGCTTCTTGGCCGTCTTACTGCTGTCACTGCTCTTGTGCTCAACATTCTCTTCCACGGGTATTGTTTTTCTTTCGTCCTCACTCATATCAACTTTACTTCTTGGGAATATTATCATACTACACAGTTTCTTTCTATAGAGTTGCCATGAAGATTCAGGAGCATTCCCCTTTTCTTTAAAGCAAAAAGATGCAAAAACAATAACTGTCTTGTTCAGACATTTGTGATTCTTTCCCTCAACCGTTTTTAGTGTTTTCTTTTAGGTTCTTATTTAGTCTTTCTTTAAAGTTTGCTAGACATTTGTTCTGTGCTCTTATCAATTGTTGAGGATGATATTTGCCGTGCACTTTTGTTTTTAATGACGAAATGACTGCCATGTCGGGTATTGTTGTCTACTAGCTCTCTTTGTAGAACTATAGACAAACCCAGTTACACTCTTCTTAAATTAACGGTCATTTGGTGATTATATGAGGATGCGACATTATAAGTACCTTTTCAACATCTTTTGAATGAAGAGGGGGAAATGGGAAAAACTTCCTGTTTATTTTCTAGCTTGAAGAAAGTGTGATTTTGCCATAGAAAGGATACAAACTACTTTTTTGGAGGCTTCTGTTATCTATACCTGTGAGATATATGGAACTTTGATCTGTCAAATTGTTTGCTTTAAGTAATCTTACCCAGAAGTTAAAGTCATAAACTTTTCATGGTTGTTCAATCATATACAGAAGCCTATGATGCACTTGATCCAACTGGCAACATTACAATCAAATGGGATGTTATAAGCTGGACACCAGACGGTTATATTGTAAGTGATCGCTTCTTTCATAATGTGAGAAAATACTTGGAAAACATCATACTGTGAGTTTTGGCATTTAACCTTAAAATAAATTTGGAGTAAGAAATTAGAGCTATATAGTATTATTTTCGTATTAGGCTTGGTGGATCTTCTCGGTTGTATCCATGTTTCAGCTTGATCTCTAGGGTGTCTTTTGATCAAACTTTAACATGGTTAATGTTAATTGGTTACTATTTTTTGACTTATTGTAAGTTACAATATTTAGTCCAAACCAGTAGATGTGTATATATTGTACCAATTTTTTTAGTACCTTTAAATTCATATAGAAATCAATATTAGGTCCTGTATTGTCTGTTTCTTTAACATAAGAAATCCTTCTTAATTGTACAGGCTGTTGTTACAATGTACAACTTTCAACAGTATCGGCATATTCAGGCTCCTGGATGGATACTAGGGTGGACATGGGCAAAGAAGGAAGTAATTTGGAATGTAGTGGGAGGCCAAACCACAGAGCAAGGGGACTGTTCAAGGTTCAAAGGGAACATTCCTCATTGTTGTAAGAAGGATCCAACCGTCGTGGATTTACTGCCTGGAACTCCTTACAACCAGCAGATTGCCAATTGTTGCACTGGAGGAGTCCTAACTTCATGGGCCCAGGACCCTGAACATGCAATAACCTCATTTCAACTTAGTGTTGGTTCTGCAGGAACAACTAACAAAACGGTCAAACTGCCAAGAAATTTTACCCTTAAAGCACCAGGGCCTGGTTATACTTGTGGACCTGCAAAGATTGTGAAACCAACTAAGTTTATTACCAAAGACAAGAGGAGAACCACTCAAGCATTGAGTAAGTTACTTCCAAAATGCATTGGCTTGGAACTTTACATGTATATACATGTTTCTTGTGTTAGAATTTATGAAGCTCATATCAATAATTAAGAGCAATAAACTCTTATCAAATAGAGCAGTTCCCAATTTTCTTTAGAACAGAAAATGGGAGCTACCTAAATGATTGACCATTGAGAACAATTATTAATCAACCTTTAATTGGTCAATGATCTTCCTTTCATAGAGCACTTTCGGTCTCCTCTGTATTTTCTTCTCTGATGGAGATGAAGAGAAAGAAACAGGAAATATGAAGGTGTTCATATATGAAGACCATGACCCCTTTATGTAACCTCTGACGGTTACATTTCCTAAAATTCAATAATTTCAATTTGTCTCTTTTAACAAATTAAAATTATTACGGATTCTACATTGTAAACCTTTTATGACATATATGTTCTTAGTCACAATTACTTGATTGCATCACTTTATAATTGATTAATAAAATACAATGACCTTAACCCATTTAATGATTTGTTATATATATATATATATACACACACGAATGATCTGAAATTGCTAACATCTTGATGTAATAAATGTATACACATTAGACTTTATTCCATTATTTTTCTCTCTTACAAAACAGAAGTGAGTTTTGTATCTGATTAATTCTGTAGGTAAAGGAGTGCACCTATCTTATAGAAACAGATAGTGAATAGGCTAGTATTATTGAATTACCACAAGAGAACCCAATTTTACTTCGTAGGAATCTCTGTCTTCATTGGTGAGATGGATTATTAACTTTTAGTCAAACAAATAATAAGCAATGAGGTAACTAGACCTAATTACTTATGCTTTATACATTGATCACCAAAGCTATGAAAAGCAGGTTTTAGTGTCTCAGATTTGATTTAAACCTAATCTGAATATATTTTTGGCAGTGACCTGGAATGTTACGTGCACGTATTCTCAATTCCTAGCTCAGAAGACTCCAACGTGCTGTGTTTCTCTTTCATCCTTCTACAACAGTACAATAGTAAACTGCCCTACCTGCACCTGTGGTTGCCAAAACAAAACAGAACCTGGAAGCTGTGTAGAGTAAGTCATTAATTTATCATTCCTGAGTAGATACCAAAGTGTCCTCTGATATATTTTTCTGAAATTTTCTTGCAGTCCTAATTCCCCACATTTAGCTTCAGTTGTATCACCCCCAGGCAAAGCTATAAATACACCTCTGGTCCGATGCACCAATCACATGTGTCCTATTCGAGTGCATTGGCACGTGAAACTTCAATATAAAGAGTACTGGAGGATCAAGATCACAATCACAAATTTCAATTACATGGTGAATTATTCACAATGGAACCTTGTTGTCCAGCACCCAAACTTTGACAATGTAACTCAGGTTTTCAGCTTTAACTACAAGCCGATAACACCTTATGTGGGCTTAAGTAAGTTTTATATTGCACTATCATATAGTCTGAGATAAATTTGTGAGCAAAATATTCCAACTCTTGTATGATTGTTTTGGAATCTGGTTTTTGCAGATGATACTGGTATGTTGTGGGGAGTGAAGTTCTACAATGATTTACTTACTTCAGCAGGACCCCTTGGGAATGTGCAGTCTGAGCTCTTATTCCGAAAGGACAAATCAACCTTCACATTTGATAAGGGATGGGCTTTCCCTCGAAGAATATATTTCAACGGAGATAACTGTGTAATGCCACCTCCTGATGCCTATCCATGGTTGCCAAATGCAAGTTCAAGACTACTTTTCTCTTTACTAAGCACATTTTTTGGCACTTTATACTGTGTGGTAATGTTATTGACTTAACCATGTTGGAGAGTCTATATATGTGGAACATAAGAGGCCTTATCTTCTCTTTTGAAGTTACGTAAGTTATCTGCACATGATTGCTGAAACTGAAGTCATTCACACGGTCATAGTATGCATGAAACACCGGTGCAAGGAAAACAAGAACTCTGTTATGTTATTTACTAAGAATGGTGGATTTTACTCCCACGTGTATTTTGTAGCTTTTGCGTTGTAAAATAATTTAGTTTCTTTTTCTTTGTTCTTTGTTTTTCGCTCTTTAGAGTAGACAACTGATCTCCCAGCATTTTGATGAATTCAAGCATTAACTTTAATCAGCAACCTTCTACACCTTTCTAGAGTTGTTTTCTCTTCATTTTTTGTACGTATAAATCATCTGTGCTCATTTTGGTTTCAGTGTTTTATCATTTGTACGTGCATGGCCATTATTTGATATTGCTAGCTTACATAGTTCACGCTCATCTCTTTTGTTTTCATAAGCAAATAGTTTAATTATTATAATAACTTTATTAAAATATGATGAAACATAGGTTGTTTCAAAAACATTGGTTGGTGACTGGTAGTATCATCCTTGTATGGTGTACGAGGTTTTGGAAGAAGACGAGTATTTGAATGTTTGCGTCTAATGCTTGAAAATCGTTGATGACAGGAATACATAGTGTAACACCTAGACTGTGACATCGGTACGTGCTTCAAGCGTTGAATTTAGTGACGCGCTTCTCAACGAGATTATTGAGTTGGTCTGGCATGTCCTATTCCAGTTCCCTTGTTCATGATTATGAATTTGCCTGTCCCATCAAAGTGATGTAAAGTTACTTTTTCAGAAAATATGTATAAAAATATATCTCTGCTCTGCCTTTCACATTCCAACAAGAACAGGCTGGCTTCCACAGTCTTAACTCATCCAACTCTGCCATGTTGTTCCTCAGCTTTATATTTTGATCAAACTCTATTTTTAATTGAATAATAGTAAGACACGAAAGATGTCACACCTTCCTTGAGTTTGTCACTATCATTACAATACCAGTGCAGGTTTAATATTTCAGTACGACAAAAAATGTCATTGCCAAAGTTGGCACGAAATCGAACGTCAATTCCAGTAAACGGTTGTCCTGGTTTGAAATGTTTATGCCATGACAAGCATAGTTTCATACATCTAAGGCTTTTGTTTATTACATCCAGATGGATATATTACATTTGGGACAATTGCGTCCTAACTAATATCACATAGATGTAGCCCCTGACGTGTTTAGTACATCAGTTATTCTCCAGACAAGTTCTTGAACCGAATCAGCACAAGCAAACTACCTTAAAGAGTTAGCAACAGATGAAAATAGCACCATTTGACGATTCAATTTCACCGTGGCCTACGTTTTCTAAGATGACCCTCGCATGATGCACGACCCTTTTCCTGCATTAAATACATCAAATTTTCATCCTCTTGATTCCGTTTATGTAAATGTAATTCACAGGGGGAAAGCAATATCTTGAATCACTTGATGCCTAATTAATCATTACACAACATAGAATTAAATATTAATAATTTACTTTGGTAAATACGTATCATGCAAGTGAGATGGAGTTTAATTTTACGCATTATTAGTGTAAATTTGTTCTATACTTCAATTCAATAATATAATTTTAATGTCACAAGAATTAATGAGTTTGACAATGCAAGATGTTATTGATGTCACAATACATCAATTTTACAAATTTTACACCGATACCAAAATTAGATCGGAAAAATATGTTAAAGATCAACAATTTAGTAAAAAAGTTGAATAAGAAAACGTTTCTTTCACTGATGGTGTTAGTTCAAATAATTTAATTACTCATTTTAAAATAGAGCCTTAAATGACAGCCCCAGATTTCTTTTTCCATTTTCCTCAAAAGTAGAGGAATGGAAGAAGCATGATATAGAGCTAGTGCATGGTGTGTAGTGTTAACCACAAGTTTACCTGCAGCAAAGTGCCCACGTAGTCTGCATAAAGAAATCGGGTCACCAAATTTTCACAAAAACAGGAAAACGTACCTCTCACAAAGTATTTTATGTAATCCGCAGAGTGCAAGAAGAATCATTCTCTTGCTTCACCTGCAAGGATTGCCTCTCATGCTCAACTCGCTGAAGCTGTGATGACAATTGTAGCAAGTCTATGGTTGCACCATCTTCGCAGGGAAGTCGATCCTTCACATTCATGAATTCTGAACCATGGAATATACCATCTGCCATATCAAAGTTTACAATATCATTGTGGTCTGATATTAACACAGGACTGAGATGACTTCCATCTGCATGATTTAGTTCTGAAGGAAAACTATCTGACACTCGGCTTGAACAAGTCTGTGAGCTTATTCCTATCTTTTCAGAGACCTGACTCATGTTGTAGTGATGGCCATGACCGCTTGGAATAACCATGGAGTGAGTCAAGGGAATTCCTGATGATTGGCTTGAAGAGTTCTGGGATTGAGATGACAGAAGAGAGAGAGCACAACAAGAGTCTGAAATCCCCGATAATCCTTGAACAGTTGATGCTGTATCAAAAACATTGAAGTCCTCATTTCCTATGGTGTCCTGGAATAGTGGTCTTAACCCAGAATTTTGTGCCCCAAGGGCATGTGGATAGTGGCTATTGCTCTCACAGAAGATGCTTCCTGTGGTGGACGTTGCACAATTTTCATGAAGAAAAGGAAATTGTTTTCCGTTATATGATGGGAACAAAGATCTTGACTGAGGATGTCCATTGGATACAGGCATAGAAGAAAGATGCCTAAAACTAGCCCCCTGTTCTGCTTTGATAGGTCTCCAGAAGCTACTCACACCATATTTCTCAGAACACATGACCCCACTAGGAAGCATCTCTGGGCGGATAAAGGATGATGTTAGCATGGATCCCTGGAATCTGCTATCTGCAACCACATGATCCTTATCAAATTCAAACAACTTTAATAATATCAGATGACTATAATAAAAGTAGACAAAACTGGCCTCAAGGGAATCAGTTCTTGCAAGAGTCGTGAACCCATCTAATATTAACTATTACGAGTAAACGAAACAGTTCAAAGTACGATTAAGGAACAAGAATAGCAATTCAAGAGTTTCTGAATATTAAAACTAGAAATTTTGTAACACACCTATGATGTTCTAGCACAAATGAGTGGAAGAAGTTTGTTTCATTCCATGAAGCAATTAAAAAAAAATGTAAAAACAATAACGTACAAAAACTCTCTCACTGCTTCGTCTCTTTTTCGCCTTTTTTAATTAGAAGCAGAACATGAGTGGCAACAGTTGAGCTATATCATAGAATATTAAGGTTAGTATATGGGATAAAAACTCAAGTTATTTCCGGTTGATTAGGCTTCATGCTGTTTACAATCAGACATGTTAATGACTAATGAGAAGTTTAGATTGCATGGTTTCTAGTCACGGGAAGGAGGAGAGGTGGACCAAGAAGGACAGAGGAGAATTTGTCAACAGAGATCTCATGGTAAATAACATATACGAAATTTTGGTTTCAAAGTCTAAAGACATTGCGTGGTCCATATAATCAACCTCACCTAGTTGAAGGACATTTCCCCTTAAGAGATAAGACCAATCTTTTGTTGAACAAGTCACTTAGCATTTGCTAACAAAAGAGTCCAACTTAAAACTAGTTTAGACAACGTACCCCAAAAATAAAAGTTAGTTTACACAAGGTCAAAACCGAAAATAAACGAAGAATAAACATTTTCAAACAGATGGGGCTATGAGATGGCAATTCATATCTTATGGATATATATTCATTGGGTAAATCAACATTTGAAAATTCACATTTATTCAGTTGGGTGGGTGACAATGCGAGATACCAATTAGCAGATTACCTCTAGAATATAATATAAGTTGGACCACATTACATGTTTTGAAGTGTGGCCGTTTAAACACAAAGAGTTAATAATGACACTGACATCAAAATGAAATCTGACAGAAAACTGTATGACAAATGTACCACAGTATGGAGGGGAATCAAAGTTGAGAAGTAAAACAGAAAGGCGAACAAAAACTTTGAATCATTTCTGAGGCTGTATGGACGATTATTACATGAAGCCTTTGAAAAGGTATAAATGGACAAGGAAAAGAAACCACCTTTTCAAAGGCGTGCTTCTATATTTTTTAGTGCCAACAGAGATATAATTAATCAGCCAATCACATGAAATTTAATCAATGAAGAATGCGAGGTTGAATGTGCATGTGACCAAAAGTAAGATGGGAATTTAAGAGAAAAGGGAAGTGCAGGAGAGAGGAGAGTTATATCATGAACTATTTTAAGAATATGTATCATTACCCCCACATGGCTGAAGCAACCTCCCAGACTTTCCGGGGTGAATCCCCATTTGTGGCTTTCTTCTACGCTCATTATGACCTGCAAGGCGTTTACGGCAGCTTCGCTTACCATCATCAAATTCAGCCAGCAAATGAAACCTGGATCATATACTAAACATTACAACAAAACTATATATCTCAACAACACAGCTTCTCATTTCAAACTTGCCCATTATGAAGTAGCCAAACTGGTAACCTTGACCATATCTAAAGGGGAAAAGGAAAATGATGCAAGCCATAGCAGATAAAGCCTCTAAAACCAATATGACATACAATTGAGTTGGTAAAGAGTCATGTTCGGTATTCAAATGGGCACCAAAAAGAGACAAGTCATAGTAATAGATATTTAGCAGCTTGGAAATGTAAGATGAAAGGTTGAAAACTTGACCAACCTACTACATTGCTGGCAAAACCTTTGCTCAATACCATTGACTATAACGGTAGCAGTCTTGGAGTGAACCTCACACACCTTGTGCCTCTTGTGGTAATCTTTGCAGGAGCTGAGATCCTTGTTACAGCCATAGACTTGGCAATAAGCAGTCTGAGAGTGAACCCCCGAAACTCTCACTCTCTTGGGAGGCGTTGATGACTCAGAAGAAGACAAAACTTTGGAAAACCCCGCATCAATGGCATCTCCATGGTCAGCAAATCGACCCAGTTTCAAATCAATGAGGGAATTTGAGTTTGAAAGCTTGGAATTTGAGTCCCCTCTTTGAGAAAAGCCACTTGGGGCATCCACAACAGTTCCAGTGATTCTGTCACTGTGTTGGTGTTGTTGATGCCTACCAGCATCCACCTTTCTGCTTGAAACACTGGCAATTAGATCATCGGACAAGTGTTTGCCCAACATTTCAGGAAAACCCAATTCCTCAAAACCTTGATTCTCAATGGGGTGCTGACCCAAACCCAACATGTCGTTGGAAAAACCACATGGGGTTTTTAGTTCCCAGCCCAAGAAAGAATTTATGGTCCTCCCGAGAGTGTTGGGAGGGGATAGTGCCTCATTGGAGACACTCTCCTTTTCTTCAGGGACAAAGCTCCAAGATTCCATCACATGCAAAAGAACCAGGGTAGGTGCAAGACAATTAGACAGGACCAAACAACAATTGACTCTTAAATAGTATCCGAACAGTGTTCCTAATTGGCTATGACCAGGCAGAGCTGGAATTTGGGGTCATGTTGCCTGAGTTGAGCAGAAAGGTAGCCACTGAAAAAGCATTATTTTACATTACCCAACAAAGAAAGACAATGAATTTACTCTCCTAAAGACATGAAGGTCTTCGATTTTGGAGAAACCAAACGGATTAAAGAAGGAAAGAAGAAGCCGCGAGAGAAGAAGCAGAAAGGGACAAGGAGTGAGAAGAGCGCGTGAAAAGAAGAGGGAAAGAAACGTAGAAGAAAACAAATAGGTGAATATGGTGAAGACAAAGAGGGTGCGCGGTTGCTGAAGCAGAGTCGAAGGAGGGAAAAATAGAGAATCGGGAAAAGTATACTGAAAGAGAAAGAGGGAGCGAGAAAAGGAAAGGCAGTGTTTGAGAGAGAGTTTGCAAACAGTGGAAGATGGAAGTAAAGTGGAGTGAAGTGGAAAGATGATTTACTCAACTGGAATAGAAAATTCAAGAGATTGGAATTCTGAGTTGCTATTTTTAGAGAAAGACAATGAGAGTGGACAGCTTTCCACCATGCTAGCTAGCAGCCATTCACACGTACCTAAGTTCAGAGAAAGAGAGACATTCTTCTCCTCTTCCCTTTTATTTTAAACATATATTACATTTTTTTTCACTTTTAAATTTCTTCTTTTTCTATTCTATCAAATGCAAACCAAATTCAATCATTTCCATCATTAAATCACATTACCTAAATCAATTACATTCATTTCTATTCTTCGATTCAATCAATTGTCAAGGATTCTCAGTTATTCAACGGTAAGATAAATCAGCTTAAAGAAAATGTCCCATAAAACTAATTACAGTTTTTTTTAACTGGTTTTCAGTTTTCTTTCATGTGTTAAGCTCAGAAATGTTTTACTGCTAACTGCATCAAGGAAAATTACTTCAATAAAAAAATTAAATTTGTATCACATTTCTTTCAAAGTTCAAAACAGTACCAAAAGCTCAACAGTAACTGTTCCTAAGATTTTTTTCATATAGAATTTAGATAGTTAAAGCATTTTCTTGGTACATTAATTAAAAAACTTTTAAAATGTTCAAAAATAAGAAACAACACTGTTTCTCCGAAAGCCTTCACCTGTTTGGAATCAGTTCTATATCCAGCCTTCATTTATTTCACACCTTTGACCGAGTATATCCAATTCACGGTTTATTTATTACTCACTTTGAAATTTTACAAAAAAAAAGAAAAGATGTATTTTTGTGATCATTACCACTACTGTTTGAAGCTAGATATTTCAAACAAGTTAAATAAAAATCTTGTAAGTTTAATTAATATGAACAATTTACAACACAGTGCGTGTGCAATAAAAGAAATATAAAAGAAAATGATAAGAAGTTGGGAGAGAAAGAAAGATAGAAGGTGTTGATGCAGTGTGAATGGCAACTCAGCATGGAGTTAATATGTTGGGATCTATTAGACAGGACCCATTTTTCTCATTTACCCCTTTTCTGACACGTGTTCTTTCATTCATTATCTTTAACTTGTTGCGCGCGTGGCAGCACGCTCTTGGGATGAGAGTGACATGCGAAGCAGGCTCCACCACGGAATGGAACGCAACGCAACACTTCCTATCCCTCGTCAAAACAATATTCCCACAAGCACCCCCGTTCCCTCTCCGAAAACGGAAAACGGAAAACGGGAAAATTACATGTCTTTTTCCAAACTCCAACTTTATCTTCAAAAATAACACATCCACTGTTCATCTATTTTTCTTTGCACTATGTTTCACTAATTTTCTTTCACGCCTCTCAGCTACCTATTATCTTCAGCTCCCATATAAGGAAAACATAAATCACGAACACGTACATTACAAGACATCCTTAAATTTTTTAAAACAAAAAACACTATTTTTCCGCTAAATTTGAGTCGGTTAATATATCATCACTGTAGTCAATCATACACTATTGTCAATGATGATCCAAGAAGTGCGTAAGCAATGAGTTGTTCATTCCTCTGTTCTGTTTTTATTTTACTTTTCTTTTTAGTTTCTGACTGGAACAAGTTGTCGGTGATGATATTTCTCTTATTTTTAAGCAACATCTAACTCAATATACCATTTCTTATTCACAAAAACACATGTAAAAAGTTTTTATACTATTATTTAATCACAATGTTACATAGATATTCACCTTCAAAATTACTTTATAATATAAAAGTTATATTCCAATTATGCGCAAAATATTAGTTCAAATTCATTCTGTGTAAAAACGGATGTAGTCAGTATATGGGTATCCGTGATCGATTTTTCTCCTTCTTAATTTCGTAAGTTTCTTATGCCATTTAATATTCTTTCGTTGTTTCAGCCCTCCTTACTATAGAACTTTTTCAGACCTTTTAACTCATTCAAAAGCAGTTACCATCATTGTTATCGTGTCTTAGATGGTATTATTTATGTAGTTGGAAATCGAGTTTCTCAAAACTTATGACAATTTCATCATTAAATAGGTCTTTAAATATACAATCACATCATTATAGTTTTACATTTGTAAGTGATGATAGGACTCAGTTAAAAACATGTCAATATCAAGTAGATAGAGTACACTACTCTGTACATGCAACACAGGGGTTTTGTTTTGTTCTGTTCTGTTTTCATTCTACAGAACACAAATCTGTAGTATTCTTTTCAAACAACAATGATTAACACTGCCATTGATTTCTGATTAAAAAGAAGAAAGAAAAAACACGATGATTTGCTAATTAAAATTTGATGGAAGTGATTTAGGTATAAGAAGAATGAAAAGAGAGGAGGATTTGATAAAAGATGGTGTTGGTAGGAGTAGTATTATAGAGTGATAATAAATATCTCAAGTGGTTGGGTTGAGATGAGTTGAGTTGAAGGGTTAGATGAAAATACATAAATGTTTCAGACGACATCTCTATCAAGTTGCTAGTGGGCATGTTGGGGACACTGTCTTGGTAACCTACAAAGAATTGAAATCCATGGATTGGTTGGTGTTCATGGGATGGCATGGCATGGGATAGAAAACAAAGAAAAAGACAAAGTCCTAAATTTGGAACCGAAACAGCATACTTTTTGGTGACATGTGGAACATTATCATATATAAATATGCCCAAGTTTCTACGTGGTCTAATATCTAACAATACTATGGTGGGGGCTTGGTGAGGGAACCTACTGCACCAACTCTGGAATTAATCCATGTTCATGATCATCACACCATCAAAGCTATGTCATACCCATCCCAATTCCATGGCTTTCTGCCTAGAAAGTTGTTCTCAATCCAACCACTCATCTATCTGTGGTCCCTCTTTTCCTTTCTTTCTTTCTTTTCTACCATTTCATGCATACGTTCACACACAACTGTCGTTTTTGTTTTCCCTTTCTACCACAGTTCCAATGCATAAGTTTGTTTTTAAGAAGTGGACTTTTAACACACTTTCTTCCCGTCGAGGTATAAACATCATCTCGAACGTAAAATTAAATATTAATAATGAATTTTGAACATAACTCAACTTCATAAAACTGACTTAAACGATATTTGTATCTACTCATATATTATAAATTAGTTTTATCTACGATGAATGTAAAACTTCCTAACAAAATTGATTAAGCAATCACGGTTCCGACTTAGTCCATTTTCCTTAATAAACTCTTACTTTGCATTAAAATACCATCTCTTCTATTATGCTATTCTTTCTTTCTTTCTAAGTCTGGATTCACTTACCCAAATCACGTTTAGCAGTTAACTCTGCAAAACTAAGTTTGTCTGTCAAAATTAAATTGTGGGATTATTTGATTTCAACCTTTATGGGTTTTGTTTTTTTTTTCCTCCTTAAGTGTTAAGTACTTGACTTTAAAATGTGGAATTCCATCCACAAAATCGAGCACCTCCATTTCTTGCTCGTCCATAAATAAAGTTGTAGCATCATTATTTGACTTTGTTAGAAAAGAAAGGCACCACAAACATGGCATCTTCCTTTCTTACTCTTCAACCTACCACTTTTTCTTTACTTTCCAATCAGTTTAATATAATCTCATTACGTGCTCCGTTGCTGCCTGTTCCTTTTTATTCAGGCAAGCAGATCAATTTCTCAACTAATCTATTCATTCTACCCTTAACCAGTTAAACATTTCACTTTCAAATTTTCTATTCTCAACTTAATTAATAATTTTGTTTCTCTACTTTTACTCTTTTCATTAGTTTTTATTCTGTAGTTATTTATTTAATTAAGTTCTTAATTTTTTCTAAAAAAATTGAATTCGGCTTTTATTTTTGTAAAAATATTTAATTTGATCATTTATATTAAATTAATATTCATATTTTAAATTTAAATTTTTCACGTATGAATCATCTTTTATTTAAAATTGTTATACGTTAAAATTATAAATATTTTAATATAAAAATTATTTAAATTTTAATTTTTGACATGTGACAACCTTATAATTTTATGCGGAATAAATTTGGATTTGACATTGGAAAACTTCAAGTAACAATTTAACTTTATCCTCAAATTTTTACAAAAATAAAGAACTTAATTAATCTAAAATAAATATAATAATCAAAATGGATTAATGAGCTAAAATCAGATTATCCCCTAATTTTAACTTGTTAATTCTATACCAAAAACCATTTCAGCTTTTTGTCTGTGGTACTTGTATAGTTTCTCTCGAAAAACATATATAAGTATAGTTTCTTTTTTTCAAGAATTTGTATACACCTGTCAGAATAAAGAATGTTATTTCACTGTGTATTTGAATGGAAATTTATTAAAGAATATTTTGTTTAGATTAAAGAGAATTTTAAATGTTTTAAAACATCTGATAACTTTAAGAAAACTAACATTTAAAAAAATTGTAAGAGGAATTTAATTCATTAAAGTTATAGAAACTTAAACGTATTTTTTGAAAAATAAGAATTTAGAATTTTGTACACTCTATTTATTTTTCACAGTTATATTTTTTATATTTTCTTTTTAATTTAATTTCAAATTTGATTGTCATACCATTAATTTAACCACAATTTAACAATATTGGTTTCATCAAAATCTAGACATTGTCGTTTGACCTCGACAGAAAAAACCATTTACGTGATTAAGGAGTTAAATTGACATTATTTTTATTTAATATACACAAATATTTCCTCAAAGTCAAGGTCAACTGCGATTATTCTTTTAACAACATTACCAACAATACTTTTTACTAATATTAATTTTTGGTAATTATTAGTCTTGGTTTTCTCTTTGTAAAACTTCCAATAAACCTTGAGTGCTATTTATTTATGTTTAATGTCAATAGTTTCTTCTCACATCAATGTTAATAAAAATGTGAGTGATAATATTAATTAACCTTAGTTAATATCAATAGATAAAAAAAAAACTCTTTTTTAACATTAATTGAAAAATATAATAAGAATTTCATCTAAAAAATAATCTTCCCCAATATCAATAGAAAGAATCAGCTACTACTATTTTAAATTTATTAAATATTATTTAAGACCAATATAATTTTATAGTTTACAATAATTGAAATATTATATTTGAACAACAAGATTAAGTTTTGTATGCTCCTGCTTTAAAATTCTTGAGATAGAATAATTTG